CCCGCCTCCCGTTCTCCGGTGGGCGGTGCTTCGGCGATAGCCGCCCTGCGCCTGCGGGGTGGGGGACCTAGGGGGGGCTCTGCCGCGTGCGGTTCCGGGCGCGGCTTGGAGGGGGTTGAAGTCTGCGTCCTCCGCCTGCTGGGATCCGGTTGGCCAGAAGCGCGGTATTGAGCGCTCTGCCCCTCCTCTTTACTCCTCTCCTGCCCCTTTCCCCAGGTTTCCGCCTCCTGGGCCGGGAGGCGGTGCTCGGCAAAGCCCGCTGTCCGGTCTGCCTGGGATTCGGGGCGCCTACATCTGCCCCGCCCTGTGTCCCGGTGGGAGGGAGAGGCCCTGCTGGTTGAAGTTGTTGAAGGTGTCGGGACGTACTCCAGGCTCGGCCGTGCCTTCTTCCAGGGGTGTGAGGGCCGGAGCTCGTGTTCCCCTTCTTGCACCCCGCAGAGTGTATGGCATCGTACTACTACTACTATCGTGGGAGCATGGTCACAGCCACTCCTTTCGGTTGTAACTGTGGGGAAGAAGTGCTCAAGATCTTTTCGGGAGACAGTCTGCGGTCGAGGGCCGCTAGCTATGTGCACGGTTCCATGCCGGTGGTAATGGGGGAAGGGCAGAGTCAGTAAAGCCCTAAAAATGTGATCCGGACCACCTTTCCTGGAGCTCCCTTGATGTTCAGTGAAAGTGGCTGTGTGGGGCGGGGCTTCCTCCGCACCAATGAAGTGGGTAGATAGCGAAGCTTGACCGCCGTTTTAGTGTCTTAGGACTTTAAACTCACTTAGCCATACAGAGGCTGTGGAAGCTTTAGCCTGTCCTTTACAAGGCTGAGATTTATACAGGAAGGGTTGGATTTACATTTTAATCAAAAATTATTTATATCAGGTTTTTGTGTGGTTTTTTTATTTGTTTTTTTGGTATCGCGGATCGAACTCGGGACCTTGTGCTTGCGAGTCAGGTGGTAGCACCACTAAGCTAAATCCCCGGCCCAACAAAATTGTTTGTAAAAGGTGGTGATTTTAAAAAATTAATGTTTACTTTTTGGTGCTGAGGTTTGAACCTACGGCACAGGCTAAGCACTCGTTCTACTACTAAGCCTCATTCCAGCCCCGATACTTCTTAAAAGCCAGGCTTCGAATACAAAACTTTTAATTTTTCCAACAGTTACATTTTTTTTACTGCTTTCACTGTATGGATGGTTCTACCGTATAGGCTTAGCTTCATAGATAAGTTTCATTCAAGGAAACTACAGGTGAGAGTCTTTCTGGCTTTTTGTAATTCTGTTAGACCATCAAAATTTACTTTTCTCTGCAAAGCCTAGTGTTCTTGCCCTTTTTAAACAATGAATCTTGGGCTCAATTCCCTTCTCCTTTGGACTTCCTATAGTGTTACCCTCCATTGTTGGAGAGTTACTTCACAGTACATGAGTTTTTCTCCTGGTACTGGGATTGAACCTGGGCTAAGTGCATGCTAGGTAAGCACTCTGGGAATGCTGACCTACATTCCCAGCCTTTTTTATTTTAGTTTGAGACAGGATCTTGCTAAGTTGCCCAGGCAAGTTCCAGAACTTGCAAGTAGTCCTCCTGCCTCAACCTCCTAGTAGCTGGGATTAGTCGACGTCGTCGTCGTCGTCGTCGTCGTCGTCGTCGTCGTCGTCGTTCGTCGTCTTTCTTCTTTCTTCTTTCTTCTTTGTTCTTTCTTCTCCTCTTTGAGATAGGATCTTGCTATGTAGCTCAGGCTGGCCTCAAACTCTGTGTAGTCAAGGCTGGGCTGGAACTGATGGCTATCCTGCCAGTCTCTCTTGGGCTGGTGCTATACACGTGCACCACCACACCCCACTGCTAGATGAGTTTTTTTGCTCTGATTGGATACATGATCTCATCCTATTAAGAGAAATTAAGGGCCAGGGACTTACCTGGACAACATAGCGAGACCCTGTATTAAAAAAGAAGTTGTTGCCGGGCCTGCTGGTGCACACCAGTAATCCCAGCACTCAGGAGGCTGAGGCAGGAGGATTGCTGTGAGTTCAAGACCAGCCGGGCTGTCTCAACTACATAGTGAGACCCTGTCTCAAAAAAACAAAAAAAAAGAAAAGAAATTGTTTTTTACATTATCATGAGAAAGTAAATACAGAATCAGTATTATTTATGCCCTGACATCTGTATGAGCCACAGGTTAATTATCTAGATTGAAGTTTTTGTTTGTGTTTTATTGTTTTTTTTTGAGATGAGGTCTGCTATATAGTTCGGGCTCACTATGTAGGCCACACATGCCTTGAACTCGAGGTGATCCTCCCAAGTATTGAGATCACAGGCGAGCACCTCCATGCCCATCTTGGACTGGAGTTAAGTCTAGATTTGTGCTTTGCCTCAGTAGGGATTGAACATTTGGTGTTCTGTGCTACTCATGGAGAAAGTAAGTCCTTCCTCAGCTAAGGAAGTTGCAAGGGCAGTGGTAGCATCTTAGTGATGGATGCACTAGAATTGGTGTGGAAACAAAAAACCCTGGCTGTTTTATTGATGTGGTAAACTGACAGATAGTGGAGAATAATTGACCTTTGAGGAAAGTTTGGTTAGTCTATAGTTTTTTCCACTGTTTGCAGTGCTGTGTGCTGGGACCTAATTCATGCTCTTACAGAATACATTATCTGCTTGCTGCTACTCGGGAGGCTGAGGCAGGGGGATCACAGAGAGTTCAACACCAGCCTGGCCTACAGAGAGAGACCCTGCCTCAGAAAGAAAAAGAATATGTTATCTGGGCTGGGGATTTATCTCATTGGTTCCACTGCCTGCCTCACAAGCACAAGGACGGGAGTTCAATCCCTGGTACCCCCCCCAAAAAAATGTGTGGTATGTGTGTGTGTGTGTGTGTGTGTGTGTGTGTATAAATATATATATATATCTGTTTGGTGTGGTAGGGTCACAAGTCCCACCCAGGCTTTAAGAATTCAAGTAAGACATATTGAAGATATACTCCTAAGTGAAATAAATAAGGCACACATGTGTAAATACCGAATAGTTTCTCTGGTGTGAATAATCTGCAATAATACATAAGATCCTAATAAGAATACTGACATTTAGAAATGGGAAGAAAGGAGCTAAAGGTGTAGGAAAGGTGGGATGGGTAGGGGAAGGGGAAGAGTAATAAAGGAAAAGAAAAAATGTGAGATAATGAAAAGATGGAAATAAAGTGTTTGTAGATGGGGAGGGGAGGAGGGGGGTGAAGGGAGGGCAGGGACAAGGGGAAAAAATGAGAACCAAGACTTGTCATGTAGAGGTACAAGATCCCAACAATGAATGTAACTGTACTGTATCCCTAAAATGTACCAATAAACTCAAAGCTGAAAAAAAACCATAATTCAAGTAAGAGCCGGGCGTTGTGGCACATGCCTGTAATCCGAGCACTGGGGAGGCTGAGGCAGGAGGATCACCATGAGTTCGAGACCAGCCCTGGGCTACATAGTGAGTTCCAGGTCAGTCTCAATTACATAGTGAGACCCTGTCTCAAAAAACCAAAAAAAAAAAAATTTAATAAAAAAAGAATTCAAGTAAGAATGCCTCTTATTCACCCAGTATCAATATTCTGTGCCGATGTTTTCTGAGTTAAATACCCAAGCAAGATTGGCCTTTGTTAATTCAAAGCATTTTTTTCCTCTTTTTTTGGGGGGGTACTGGGGATCGAACTTGGGTCCTTGCACTTTTTTCCTCTTCTTTAATTCAAAAGGTTGGGTTTTCTGTTTGTTTTCTTCTTTTGTTGTGCCCCCCCCTTGGTACTGAGAATCGAACTCGGGGACCTTGTGCTTGTGAAGCAGATGGCAGAACCACTAAGCTAACAGGTGTGCACTACCACACCTGGTTTAAAAGGTTTCAATGGTTCACCCAAAGAGTAAGACTTTTTTGTTTGTTTGTTTTTTGGTACAGGGGATTGAATTTAGGACCTTGCTGTTGGGAGGCAGACATGTGCCACTGAGCAAAATCCTCAGCCCAAGAGTATGGCTTTTTTTTTTTTTTTTTTTTTAATTTCGGTTTTTTTTGAGGTGGTTTCTCACTATGTATGTAGTTGAGACTTTCCTGGAACTCACTCTATAGCCCAGGATGGTCTGGAACTCACAGGGATCCTCCTGCCTCAGCCTCCTGAGTGCTGGTATTACAGATGAGTGCCACCATCCCTGGCTCTCAAGAGTATGACTTGTTTGTTTGTTTTGTTTTGTTTTTTGAG